ATGGTGTTCTGTTGAGATATTTCGTTACCTCAGAGTTGCCCTCGGATGGGAACACTGCAGTCTGTCAGCTGAGCCCGGCTCTCCCTTCCTTCTCCCAAGCTTCTTCCGCCTACCCACTTCATCTGCTTATCTTGTAGTGGATTTCACCACCTAGATGCCCAAGTCGGATAGGTTAATTTAGAGTTGCTCTTTTTATTTTTCTTTCTTGCACTAGGGATCGAGTCCAGGGGCACTCAACCACTGAGCTCCCCCCACCCTGCAGCCGGGTTTCGTTTTGAGATGGGAACTCACTGCTTGGGTATGCAGTGACTCACCAGCTCCAAGCCCTGGCTTCTGAATTCCCTGCCTGTCCCGGCCCTCCCCTCCATTCCTGGAGCTTGCGCTCCCTCTGCGCCTGCAGCGCGTCCCCTGGACTCCAGCCCGGTCTTCCTTCGTGGCCACAGCTCGTCCTGATTTCGTTCTTCACTCAGCTGCCATGCCGACCTGCAGAGGAGCAGTCCCTCCTGTGATGCTCTGTTGTCTGATAGAGCTTGCAACCCCGCTCTTTTCTCTACATTGGGAAGCCAGGCACCGCGCAGAGGGCAAGCGGCAAACTCCCCAGCTCAGCGTGGCAGGCCTCTCCTGTCCTCCTTCCATCTTCTTTCCCTGCATCTTCTCGCACCGTCCTCACGACACTGTAGTTTCCAACGTTAACAGAGCGAGTGTTTCCCAGCAGCGCTGAGCAGTGGCTCGAGCCTCATCCACCCCCTCTCTGGCCTCACCTAACCTCTCCTGCCTCAGCCTTGCCTCTGTTTGCTCTGCTCAAACCTGCGCACGTCTGTCTTTGGGACTTGCACCCAGCTCTGCCTGTGTCTCCTCGGGAACTCCCCAGAGAGCTAAAACAGACTCAGCCTGCTGCTACGGTTGGCCCCCCGGCAAGCTCGCCTTGGACGTTCTTGAGAATGGACTGGTGCTTCTCAGTGTCCCTTCCAGAGGGGAGTGTAGCGGGCAGGAGCGACCCCCAGGCACAGGGGACAGCGTCCTCCCCTGAGCACGCTGCCTCTGCTGCAGTCACACTTCTTACGAAACTCAGAACGCTCACTTATCTTGCAGAAACCTACGGCGAGCTCTGTGCCTACATACATAACATATGTATCGTAAAATGTCTGTCATCTTTAATGATTGCAAAATTGCTTATCATGTTGTAATTATATTAATCTTTAAAATCAATTGTTCTTATTGGATATACAGGCTTTCTGGCTTTTGTGGGTGAGCTCAGACCAGTGAGAAGACCTGGGGCCAGACTCTAGTTATTAGCACTGTGACAGTAGTTCTAATTATATAGCTTTAAAAGACCAGAAAACTCACATGTCCAGCAACATAATAAAACATGGCAAAAAGAATTATGTGTGCTGATTTTGTTTTACAGATTCTTTTTCCCTCCCTTCCCCTCCCTCTGTCCTTTTCTCTGTCCCTCCCTCTGTTCCTTCCTTCTTCCCTCCCTCCCTCCCTCCCTCCCTCCCTTCCTCCTTTCCTTCCTTAGATTGAACTCAGGGCCTTTGCACTAAGCTACCATCTCAGTCCTTTTAACTTATTGCTGTATTGCATTTCTGATCTCAGGAACTTCCCACTGAGCTACACATCCAGCTCTTCATCTTTTTTTTGATATTTACTTTTTGAGCCAGGATTTCACTAAGACATTAACCTTCTTAGCCTGGGCTCGAACTTGTGATCCTCCTGGTTCAGTCACCCAGACTGTCAGGATTACAAGTGTCCACCTCCTTGTACAGTTTAGATTTACTTTTCTTAGTAAGTTCCCTGAAGAACATGAAGTTGATCTCAGAAAAGTGAAAAACTAATGAAACACAAGAGGCACCACTTCCTGAGGATTCAATCCACACCAAGCACTGGCAAAGAGTGCTTTCTTTGATCCCCACTGACTCAGAGAACACCTCAGGTGATGACAGTGCCACCTAGATCTTCTAGGTCAAGAGCCCTTGAGAATCCAAGAGCAAGATTCCACAGGATAACATAACTCAGGTCAACAATTTCTGACATTGCCAGTCAAGCAGAAGACCCAATACTATTATGGACTACTGGACTCTTAGAATATTTTGCTGAGTTAACACACCTATAATATTCAAATAATGGAACTAAACAAAAAAGGGGATACAGATGAATGTCCATTTTGTATCTGTGTATTCAAAGTGGTTAGGATAGATATATAGTTACATTCTCTTAATGAATAGAGGGATTTGTTCTAATGGTGTTTGTAAATAGAATATCATGTCCTCATCTTGTACAGCAATTAACCACTAGGAAGAGAGTATGCAATGTGTTAATTATTGAAACTATCCTACCAATTTGATTTGAAACTGTCTCATTGCTATTTGTCTCTCAATAAAATTATGGAAAAAAAGTGTCACAGGACCTTCCTAGTAAAGCCTGGATGAGACCATGTCTGTTTCTGCCCTGTGCCTGCACTTTTAACCATTAGGTTGGGCCCCTGCTTAACAAAGGCTTTGGAACGCCTGGCTGCACGCGTGAATGGACTTAGGACTCCCAGGCCAGCCGCTTGCTTGGCATTCACCCCGTGGAAGGTCCAGAGAAGGGACTCTGTGTGCAGAGCATGCTCTTCCTGGCAGCTGCATCTGTGGCCTGGTGCTAGCCCTGGGCTGCACTGTGGTGCGCACACTCTAGCCATGCGCAACATGAAAGCAACCCCTAACATCACACGTGAGCGTTGACCGCAGGCCCCCCGACCTGCCGTTCTGCCTTCCTTCACCCAAGCTTCGGGTGTTCCATCACACCCCTCCCAAGCTGGTGGCACCAAATACCCCAGGGATTGCAGGCCGATCTTGCACAAACAGGAAGTAATGTTTCGGGCAATATGAGTCCAAAATCTCTGTCATCTCTGAACTGTTACTGGTACCTACTCTGCGCAGGCAATCATTCCAGTGACCGTCAACCAGTCATGCAGGTGGTGTCCCTCTGACTGTGTGCAGAACCCTGAGCCCAGGCTGAGAACACTCCAGTAACTGGCGTCCTGTCGTGCAAATAAGTCCAGCCCAGGCTTGTCACCCTCTGGCTGTTCCTGACTTTGCTAATGGCCAGGATGCTCCTCGCACCCACCCTGTTGTCCTTGACCCATCTTCTCTCAGCAAGTGTTTTCTCTGAACTTCTTCATTTTAGTTTCCTACTTTGCTTACCAAGGTTAGGATTTTCTTTCTGGATATACATGAGCCCTAAGGTGGTGCAGCTCTCTGACCCTAGGTGGTGTGGCTCTACAACCCTCGGGTGCTTTCCATGGTGTTAACCCGTTCTTTCTCATTGGCTCAAGATGGGTGCGTAAGCGTGATCTTTCCTGACTTCTTGGGAATAAAAATTATTAATGAATTAAAGTCTTATCACCTACACTGCGGCCAAGGGAATGAGGCTGTCAGCCACTTGCAACCTTGCTGGAAGTCCGCATCCTTCCCAATGAGCTCTGTGCAGCAATTCTACACCTTGTCCATATTTTCTCGGAGTTGGGAAAATTAGGAAGATGACAGAACAGGACTCTGTCGTCTTGTTTGCATTTGGTGGTTGTCATTTACTTTCCTGTGACCCTCACAGGAACATTCTCTGTCTCCCTGTTCTGCCCTTCGGTGCCCAGGCTCCTGCAGCTCGGCGTCTCCCCGGTGCACGCAGTACTCTCACCTGTGGCTAGAGGCGCATGCGCCTTTTTCTGAGGAAGGGCTTGGCTTTGTTATTTTTAAAAGCAGTTTTGACAGTCACAGTGAGGATGTCACAGGCTAGTCTCAGGAAGGCATTGGAGAAAAGCTGAGAATTGAGGGAAAAGGTGGTGGTGAAGTAAAAAAATGAAGTCTATATTTTAAAAAATTGTTTATCTGCAAATTCTTATGTGCATGCACCATTTGGAGACAAGTTTAGCAAAATGATATCTCTGGTCTTATGCTTCAAAACTAGCTACAGGAAGTGATGCCAATTGGTAAAATCAACAGGTAGAAGAAATTTTTATAAAGCCCAGGCTTACATTTCTGTTGTGCTGTATATCCATTTTCTGCCCTTGAGCTGGTTGTTTAATACCCTTAACCTTCTGTTTTTTCTCCTGTGGAATATGGGAAATAAAATTCCCAGTGAAGAGAAAACAAATATCGTTGTAGAATATTTTAGAAAGAATTCTTAAATGTACTTAGGAGTTTGAAAGTCCTCCTTATTCAATAGTAAAGGGAAACTGTGGTTTTAAAGGCTTCATATGTGTAGGGGTTTGGGACTAAACCAACCTGATTCTGAAGCGATTGCTAGCTGGGTGAGACATTCCTGATCTCTTTGCCCTCAGCGTCGTCATCTGTACAGCAGGAGCGAGTCTTACTTTCCTCATGGGGAGAGTTAAGTGAGTTGGTGCACATCTGCATGAGATCGGGTTGCATCATCTTTGTCACACTGCATGAGCAACCACCTGATCAAAATCTCTCTGCCACTCTGCAAGCCCTTTGTTGGCTTCTGCCATTTGATGTGACCATTCGATGAATTGCTTTCTTTCTTTGAGACACTCCAGTTATAAAAGTCTTGGAAACTTTTGCTTTGGTTGGAGATAAGCCTCCTGCAGGTTTCACTCTCAGCTACTGCTATCTTTCTTTTTAAAAGACAGACCCCACTTCAAGCCAAAGCAAACCAAACCCAGAAGACACAGAAAGGGGTTCACAGCCAACACTGGTGCTCACCCTCAACTGGGCACAGTTAATAGAGATTTCTTAAAGCCTAAATTGCTCCCAGCATCTTCCTAGGTAGGAATCCTGAAAAATTGGTTTGGGAGGAGGTGAGTGATCCTGAAGCCGGAACATGTACTTGAATGGTTTTGGGAGGATAGCCAAGATCTCAGCCGTCCTCCATCAGGGCAGAGAGAGATAGAGAGATAAAGATAGAGATAGAGATAGAGATAGAGATAGAGATAGAGATAGAGATAGATAGATAGATAGAGAGAGAGAGAGAGAGAGAGAGAGAGAGAGAATCCTTACCGTGGCGTCTTCCCCAGCGTAGTGGGTGATGACTCGCTGCCCACCTGGATGCTTGAAGGCCCACTCGGTGACATTGTACACCTTGCGGCTGATTACCAGCCACTGGTCGCCCTCCTGGTTGTGCTTCTGGATCTCCTGCCAGGTGTACGCGTTGAGACTCCTTCTGGGCACGATGCTCTTGCCATTTGCCTCCCTCCTTGGGGAGCCCTCAGCGGCCCCGTTTGCTCTCAGCTGTCCGTTGGCCTGGGACGTCTCACCGAGACAAGGCTGCCTGCTCCGTGCTCTCACACACCCATTCTCCTCAAGCTTCTCCTCAAGCTTCATGCTCACTGAGTCCCTGGGACGGTATGTCGATCTCTACAATACCTAATTGTGGGCTTTGACTGTAGAGCAGATGCCTGTCGGCCCTCTCATCCGAGCGCAGGAGGACGTGCGCAGCAGGAAGCCCGTGAGCCTCGTCTGCCTCTCCTCAGACCCACCAGCGAGCTCCTCCCGGCCTGCTGCTAGCCTTGTCTGTCATGAGTCTCTGCTGCTCCGGGAGAGGCTAGCCCATATCTGCCTCCCTTTTCTCTCTGCCTTTGGGCAGCATCCTCCTTCACGCTTAAATGTCCCTGAGCAAGGAGCCTGAGCCAATGGAGCCGGCGGAGCCCGCCCCAAGGGAGGAGGCACCTGCCCCGCTCCTCCACCCGCCCGCGCGGTGGCCCAGGGTTGCCAGCTGTGGGATGTGGCTGTGAATGGAAACCTTCAGATTTGTTCATTCAATGTGTAAGCAAAGCTTTCAAAACCTCCTCCAGGGTGACTCGGACACTTGCTGCCCTTGGGAAATGTTATTTTGGCAGCTGTCCTTCATTTTAAATACTTCCAAACTTTTTTAAAAATACAGCCTTGTTTTACAAAAAAAGCCAACAAGCAACCAACCAAGCAAGGGGGGGAAGAAAAAGAAGAAGAAGAAAAAAAGAAACCAAACCCGAAGCCCAATCAACATAAAGCACTCAGATGTTCTCTCCTTTGTCCTTCCGAAAGCTCTTTAAATCTGTCAGCACATCAACAGGCGAGGGCAGTTGACACTCACTAACACATGACGGTTTTCAGGTCACATGTTTTAGCTCTTTAATCTTCCTATCAATCTTTTGAGGGAGGTATGGTTAGTGCCCCATTTCCCAGGGAAGAAAACAGGGTAGGAGCCTCAGCCTGTGCCTCAGAGTCACCTGGGGGTGACGGGAGCTGGCCGTGGAACCCCACCGAGGCCGAGCTCTGCGCGTCCTCCGCCGGACCTCGTGCGGACGCTGAGGCGCTGACTGCGCCCTGGCGCGGCAGACAGGGCGGACGGGGCTCGGGGGCGGTGGCGGGGGCTTGCAGAGAGGCCTTAATTTTAAATGCAGCACGGAATAGTAGTAAACGCACATATCATGTATTTGAGTATACCAGATAATGAAATAAATTGTGCATAATCGAGCCCCACATTAATGTGAAAAGGAATGATTTCCCGAATCACTTATCATGGATGAAAATTAGATGCGGCCTAAATGTCCCACCATGAGTTACGGTCGTAACTAGAAATAAATTGGCTATAATATAGATATTAAAATAAGACATTCTAGAGTGTTCAATGACATGGACTCAAGATTTCAGCGTAACAGGAGAAAGGAGTCAACAAATCATGTTTGTTTAGTGATATTTGACGTCCAGATGTTGGCATCCGTTCCTTTCGGGTTATAATATTACTCCACATTAGGTCTAAATTTTTTTAAGTGCTTCTCAAGGTTTTCTACCAATTAGTATATGTTATTTCTAAAGCTTAGCAAAGTTTCTTTTTTCTCTTTTAAAGGATAATTTTACTGCTGATTTCTGTTGGTCTATTGAAAGGAACAATGAATGCTTAAATTCTTTTTCTCTCTCCTTTTAACTTTTTCAAAATTCTTTTGATAAATCTTACAGGCTTATATTGGGTAATCTGAACAACTAATTTGAAAATCATGATATGCAAATTAACAACCATTTTTGAATGTCTATCATTTTGGGTTTTTAAAAAAAATTTTATTTATTTATGTGTGTGTGTGTGTGTGTGTGGCCAGCTCAGCCCACCAGGGGGCGGGGCAGGCTGGCATGTGGTGCTGGGGGATTGAACCGTGGTCCCTGTGCTTTGCTAAGCTTGTTCTAAGTAGGTGCTTTAGACCACTGAGCCATCTCACCAGCCCCATGTCTATCATTTTGTTTAGTGAAATTCTGTGTTTTCTAATTTTTAAAATTATTTTTGTATTCTCTTTAAAAGTAAAAAAGAAATGATTAAAAACAGACAAAGAAACCAACTAAGGAAAGATAAAGTATGACTTTAAAGACCCACAGATGAGATCCACGTGTCCGCTCTACAGTTTGTTACCAATGGGATGCCCCCGCACGGCTGCTGGCTCACTGTGCCACCTGAGGATGGCAGGGATATGCACAATACTCACGTAAACTGGCAGAAGAGCAGTGGCCCCCGCAAGACCTCTCCGTACTCGAATGCTTCCTGAGCTGGGGCTCTGCAACTGCAGCGTGCGTGCCTTCCGTGTTTGCTCTCCAGAGGTGTCGGCTCAGGCTCCCTTCAGGAGTTTGGTGAGGGAAGGTGAGGGGCTTGTTCAGGGTAGTCTGTGGCTCTTCCAGTGAGCTTGTGAGGTCTTCTGTCACATCCAACCCAGACATTCACCGGTGGAAAGGTTGCAGGGTGGTGCAGGGTGCAGAAGGGGGCAGTGTTAGGTGAAGACCTTCACCTCCCTTAGACCCTCAGTCCTGTTCACAGGCAGGGTGTATGCATGACTTGCAAGCACCAATAAGGAAAAGTCCTCAGGCCACGTGGGTGGGAGTGTGGGCCTGTGCACACTTGTCGGTTGTGTTCAGATCTTCCCGAGATGTGGAGGGTCTGTCTCAGACTCAAGGAATGCTGATCCTTCCTGGCTTCATGACAATATTTCAACTCCTCCTTGGGGACAATTAAGTCCATGCCTCACTTCAGATGACTCAAGATTAGTAGGATCTGAAAGAGCACAAGGCCATGTCAGTTCCACCTTCAAGATCTCACTAAATGTCTCTTGTGGCCTAAGCCCACTTACAACATCACAAGTATGGGACCTTGGGGAAATGAACCTGCCCCGTAGCACCATGGACACACTCGCAGTCACCCCACCCCAGCCCGCCCTCCTGGCATCTCTTCCCTTTCCTCTCCTCTGCCTTTCTCCAGCTGACCTTCTTCTCATTTCTCCTCTTAAATCCACACTTTCAAATGAGAACAATAGCAACATCTTACCTTAAACAAAAGTATAACAACCCTTTCCTTCGAAGAGGATGAAATTTCTTATTTGTCTTTGATGCTCTTTTCTAGCTGAGTCATTGTTCCACGTTTGATGTCTTGTAAGTTAAATAATGAAAGGCACGATCAACCGCTATGAATACATGTTAGTTGGTGGGGAGTTAAACATCAAAAGAAAATAATATTAGTTAATATTCATCGCATAAAACAAGATTATTATGATCATGAAAAGGTAGGTTTCACTTACAGTTTTTTTAAAAGGGTAAGATTCTGAGATTTAATCCCACAAAGAGTTATACAAAAGCTGGGCTCTATCCACAGTAGAGGAAGAGTCACTCTGTCGTTTAGTCAGAACTGGTGGCTTGGCTGTGTCTCTGGGCCATCTCACCATCTTTATAAACAACTGGCTCTTTATGGGATCATGACACACCTGGCTTTCTGAGGAGGAGGTCACTTCTCTGTCCCTGACTCAGGAGATGCCAGGCTGTATTCCTGGGCCAGACAAGAGTGATTTTCTGAATGCTGATACCCGTGACTGTCAGCCAGGGACCGCTCCGACCCATGGTAGTTCCTGCCATCCAGGACCTTTAACTTTATGTGCTAGATTGAAGATTTGCTGAGAACTTATTTGCTGATTGAAGTTCTGGATATCTTGGAGATAAAAGATGCACAAAGTTTTCTCTTTCTCTATGTGGACAACCATTAGAAAAAAGTGAAAGGAACCGCCCCTTCCCCCATCTCTATGTATTCAGTATCTTAGTAGAGACCTAGCTAGCCAGAACTCAAAGCCAAAGGTTGGCATTCTGCTGCTGTCAATGTGGAGAAGTGATTTAACCCTTCAGTACCTCCGTTTTCTCATTCTTTGTGGAGAAGTGACTTATCCCTTCAGTACCTCCGTTTTCTCATTCTTAAAACACGGATGAAGCTAGAAATACTAGTACCCCATAGATTTTCCATCAACACAGATAAATATGCTATCTTATGTCCAGTGCTTGAGGTCCTGCCCGGAAGTTCTCTGTGTGTGCTATGTATGGGAACTATTCTTTTAAAGGTCCTCTTAACTGACGTGGTAATCATACACATTTATGGGATACAATGATATTTTAGTCCATGTATTCCTTGTGTGTAATACTCAGGGCTGGGTAACTGATATATTCATTCCATTAAATATTCGTTCCTTTGTCTAGAAAGGATCCAATATTTTTTCTGCTGGCTATTTCAAAATATACAATTAATTGTTGTCCACGACGTTGTCCCTACTGTGGAGCAGAACATAGAAATTATTCCTCTCTCCCAGCAGCTCCTGGCACCATCCTCACCACATCCTCCCTTTCCACCATTCTGCTCTTGATTTCTGTGCAGTTGATTCCTTTTGGCTTCTGTATTTAAGTGAGAACACACAGTACTTGCCTCTGTGCCACACTTACGAGATGCATGGGATTGTCCCACGTAGCCACAAATGACACAAACATTTTGTTCTTTCTCGTGGCTGAATGCCACTCTGTTGTGTACTTCTATACATTTTCTCTGTCCATCCACCTGATGGTGAACGCCCGGGTGGATTTCATTTCCTTCTTTCGGGAATGCTGCTACGGTGGCCACAGGGGCGCAGGCGGCCTTTGGAAGGAGATTCATTTCCTTTGTGAGGGCGCTCAGTGATGGGATTGCTGGACCACTCCATAATTTTAATCCAAGGAACCTTGATTCCTTTTTCTCACTTTGGCCTCCAGCAGTGTATGGTAGCCCCTCTTTCTCCACGGCCTTCCCAGCATGTGTCCAGAGAGCTCTTAAAGCAATCAGGCTTCCCCGAAGCAAGTGGCCAGACAGGCAGCCCCACGACAGGCAAATGGGATAAGCATGTATGAGGGAATAAAGTAGGGGAAGGTAATCCAGTAAAAACCGCAGAGTGGAAGCGGACTCATTGTTCTCTCTCCCATTGCCAACGCCTGGTTTTCTGCACCTCCGCGGTACCACTTTTGCTCTCTGCTCCAGGTTCCCTGCCTGCTAAGGGAACGTTCTTTAGCGCTGCAGTGTCACACACCAACTCCAAAGGTCACCCTTGTGCACGGTCTCAGTGCATGCCTTCAGGGCCAGAGCACGGCTCCTCTGGGGTAGAAGGAAAATCCTTTACAAGCACGTACTGAGGCAACCTCAGAGGGGAGTCTCGCTCCTCCCAGGCCTTCGAGGTTAGTGAAAAAAGGTCTTTGAGCGTAAGAATGCGCTGGTTGTGGTGCAGTGGAGCTGTTCCGGCCTCTGTTTTGAACAACATGACGCCTTCCTGTGTCAGATGCTCCCTGAATGCTCATTGTGTGTGTGTGTGTGT